AACTGATCAAATTATACTGTTTTATTGTGTGCTAGTATGAATATATTTTAACAAATCTCAAGATGGGGAAAAAATGTTTCATTGRTTTTATACTTCAGGGTTGACCTACAGATGCTTCCAGCAGGGTTAAAGTGTTGACAAAGGCACAAGCCAAGCCAAAATACCACTTTCAGTAAAGTCATTCCTTGTGTTCCATGGGAACCAACTTATTCACCTTTKGGGGACATAGAGATATATGGAATCCAATAAATATATGCAAACCCAGGGGAAGATCAGACTTAGCATCCTTCACCCAGGTCACAGCAAGGGTGCCATTAATGACACAGGGAAGGGATCAGTGTCACTAGAGTAAAATGAAMACAATCCCACAAAGGGAACTGAAACTCAGCATAACAACTAGAGCTGCCACAGAATGAAGTGAGGGTTATTAGTAGTGAGTGCCACATCAAAAGGATTTTCAAAAAGGAGTTGGCTCCCACCAACCAGGAATACTATGGAAAAGGTACAAGTGATAGGGTTTGGACACAAGTAGTCTATAAGCCCTCCTGACCCTGAGATCCAGCAGGCCATCAAGAAAAGATTGAGAGAGCTGGGCACAGTGGCACATGCCACTAATCCCAGCAACTTGGGAGGCTAAGGTAAGAGGCAAGACCAGCCTTAGCAACTTTGTGAGGGCCTCAGCAACTCAACAAGAATCTGTCTCAAATTTAAAAAACAAAAAAATTAAAAAGGACTGAGGATATAACTCAGTGGTAAAACACCCCCTTGTGTTTAATCCCCAGCACCTAGAAAGAAAGAAAGAAAAAAAAAAAAAACTGCCAGGCGCAGTGGCACACGCCTATAATCCCAGTGGTTTGGGAGGCTGAGGCAGGAGGATTCAGAATTCAAAGCCAGCCTCAGAAAAAGCAAGGTGCTAAGCAACTCAGTGAGACCCTGTCTCTAAATAAAATACAAAATAGGGCTGGGGATGTGGCTCAGTAGTCAAGTGCCCCTGAGTCCAATCCCTAGTACCCCCAAAAAAGAAAAAGCTGACAAGTAGAAGACTTGTGAAGAGGCTCAGGCATATGGCATTGCTTCTTCCAGATTCTCAGATGCCCCTGTAGCTTCCCAACTCAGCAACACAGGGAAGTGAAACTTACCATGAGTGAATCCAGATAGGACCATTTGCCAATGTCAAGGATTTCAAAACAATTTCCAACTACTAAGGGCCAATTGAGAATCAAAAGTATTTAAAAAGGAACATGTCAAAAGAAACACACAAAAAACAAATGGAAAAGGAACAGGTCACATATAATATATAGGCCTTTCTTCCATTATGAGTRATAATATTTTTTTTCTGAAGAAAAATTCAAACATTGATGATGATCCAATTTAAAGACAATAGTYTGGGGTAGAGATGTAGCTCAGTGGGAAAGCACTTACCTAGTATATATGAAGCACTGGGTTCCCTTCCMAGCACCACAATAATTTAATAAACACAATAGATCTTTGTTACTTAAATAAATGACACAAGCCAGGCATGGTGGCACACGCCTCTAATCCCAGCAGCTTAGAGGCTGGAGGATTGTAAGTTCAAAGCCAGCCTCAGCAAAAGCAAGGTGCTAAGCAACTCAGTGAGTCCCTGTCTCTAAATAAAATATAAAAACAGGGTTGGGGATGTGGCTCAGTAGTGGAGTACCCTTGAGTTCAATCCCCAGTACCCAAGAAAATAAATAAAGAAATGACACAGTAAAAGTCTATATTCTAACCTGGAAAAATGCTGCAGTGAAACATCTCGTATCTTAACAGAAAGGTCTGAGAGCTGTCACTAGATAGAACTAGCTATCAGATTTAAAAGGAAAAGAAAACCACTTCCTATGGAGAAGTGATAGGCAAAGAGGCTGAAAGAATAAAATTCCACTATAACAACCATGGGAGCTACTTTTGCTAATAAAAAGATGTTTCCCCAGAAAGTGTACATGCAAAATTCTGCCTAGTTTCAGATTCACTAAAGCCCATACACAGACCCCAGATAGCAAACACCAGTCCAATCAACTTCCTGCCCTGTACATAAACTTTATCTTCCTCTCTACTCTCCTTTTTTTGGGAGCACATGACTTTATTTTTTCTATAGACTGCTCTTTTTAAGCACTAAGAACCAAAGCTAAACTGAGATAATCTGAATCCCATCTTGAGCGAAAGACTATGGCAGTCAGGAGAGGATTTTACCAGCCTATAGAAGAAGACTTCAGAAAGGAGGATATTTGAATACACACTATCAACAGAGCTTCCAGAAACTAAGTATGTCAAGATGACAACACTGRTAGCATTTTCCAGAAGTAATAACTGCACAAGTAGTAAGTGCAGCAAGAGGTTTGGGAACATGCACACATCTCCTTGTCTTTTCATAGGGGAAGGACCATGCATACAAGAAAGGGGATGGGCAGCTTGTCTGTTGCCRGGCTGGTAGCATCTTCAACAGAATGAACAGCAGAACAACTACTATTTTTCTGACAATTCAGCAACTAATTGCTCAGGTTTGACAATTCCAGATCTAATGTTCCAAATTCAATTTCCCCAAATTCTSCCAAACTACATTCATTAATATTTTTTCATATATTCAACAAGTATTAACAGAAACCAACTATGTATTAAGTAGGAGTGAGGACAGTCGATTAACAAAAAGAAGTTCATCACACACCTTAAGTCCTTGGAAGGACTTAAATCCTTGGAAGGACTCACAAGCTATACACACACACACACACACACACACACACACACACACACACACACACTGTCCAGAGGTGATAAGAGCAAAGCAGACAAAGGTTGGGTGTCAGGGGCCCAGAGACTGTAGGGGGATCAGGGAAGACCTCAATCACGTGTGACCTTGAAGGAGAAATTTGAAGGGAAGAATTCCTGAGGCTATCCGAGGCAATGGTACCTCAGGTAGAAGGAAAAAGCCAGAAGCAGAAATATGCTTGGCATGTTGAGCTACATGCACAAAAGCCAATGTGGGTCAGCAAAGTGCATAGGACCACCACAGAAGATAGGGCAGAGTAAGAAGCTCACATCAGGGAGAGCCTGAGAGGCTGAAGACTGGCTTTTTTAATTCCAGTGAGATGAAAGTCACGAGAGAATGCTGCCTAGAAAAAAAAACAAAAACATGATCCTACTTACATCTGAAGTGGTCTCTCTGTATTCTGTGTGGAAAACAGATAATGGGGGAAAAAAAGGTCAAGAGGTGATTACAGTATCACATGCAGGAGATGACAGTGGCTTAGAATACTGAAGGTAGATAAAAGAAAGACAGAACTTGCTGATGGACTAGATGTAGAGTGGAAAAGAAAGAACAGGAAAGTGACTGAGATTCCTGCCTGGCCTAAGTAACCAAAATGACAAGGAAAGACTAAAAGAGAAGGAGATGATGGTGGCAAGGGAATGGGAAGGTAAACTCTAAACAATGTACTTTAGCCATCTAATTGACAGTCAAGGAGATGAATGGATGAGTCTCAAACTGGAAAGCATGGTGTGGGATAGAGATGAAAATTCAGCAGTGATTACACCTTGGGATAATGAAAGACACTGACTGACCTTCACAAGATGCTTCAAGACATAAAGATAGGGCCCAGAGAAGGCTCTACCAGCCTATGGAACGAGGCCTACCTGCTGCAATGTTGAAAGATCAGATTGCTGAAGAGATATCAGCAACGGAGACTAACAAAAATAGGAGAGCTGAGAGGCACACTGTAGCAATGTCAGGAGACATGCTGCCATATTGTACCAATTACCTTAGGAAACAATAAAGAAAACCATTTAAAGGAGTCAGAGATTATCAAACAAATGCTACTGACGGCAAAAGGACTAGGCCACTTTATTAAGCAATGTGGAGCTCCTTGGTAAGCTTGAGAAGGGTTGTTCCAGAGGAGAGGACAAAAGAAAATCTGATACAAGCTTCCCATTTTTTTGTTTTGTTTTGTTTTGTTCTGTTTTGATTGGCTTTTGCAACAGGACAGAGTCTACCTGTTGGAGACTGGCAGAGATGCTTGATGAAGATGCTTTACTAGAGAGGAAGAGTTCAGAGAGAGGCAATGCCTGTTAAAATCAGTCCAAGTACTATAAGCAGGGGTATTGAGCACAAGTGGAGATATTGTCCTTAGATTGGAGCAAGGGTGGCTCATCCACCCAGATCTATGCAAATCTGAGGATCTGTGATGGCTATTAACCTTTCCATCCTACCAGCCAGATCAGAATTCTAATTAGCTGGGCTTTTACAGGCAAAGAAAAMTGTAACATTTCACTAGAGTTTGGTCTATTATGGCTCTTCCTTTCTTCCAAAGGTTTTCAGGATCTCTGCAACCTGACTCAGAGATAAATTCTGTAGTGATTCACCCAGGGTATGTATTCTCTAAACAACCCACAGGGCCTCTCCTCCAGAGCAGAGGTCTCCATTTCCTATCAGATGTCACCATCTTTTGATAAACAGGTATTTACTGCTATCTTAAGAGCTACAGGAATTATGGAAAGGGAATAAGAGTTCCAATTTATATCTTTGAGTGTGGTAAGTATATTTGGGGAAGAAGGAATGAGGGAAGATTCATGCTCAGATAAAGTGTCTTAAATGGATAACCTTTCAGGTTTCTTCCTATTCTGAGATCCTAGGATGCTAGTCTTCAAGGCCTCAGACAGGAATTAAACCTGCGGTGAGTACCAGCTTATATTCCCTGTATCCTGAGGGCTCTCACCAAAAGTGGCCACATTTTCTATTCCCTCCTATAAATGTATATTTTGCACCATGCTCTGATTTAAGAGGTGCTAAATACTATCTATTGCTTGGGAAAAAATGAAACTGGATCCGCTCAGCCAGTGGAAAATAGCACAGTGTCAACAGACACAGTGGAAAGTATTGGAGTAACAAAAGGTCTAATTCTGGTTCACGTGGCATCATTCCCTGGTTGGCTGCTACCCTTTCCCAGGCACCTGCCAATATATTCCCACATCCAGCTAGATCAAGCATTTACCTAAAAGTGCAGCTGCCTGGCTCCGTCCTCCAAAACTGCGGCTAAAGGAGCTATGCCTGCTAGCATAGGAGGCTGGCCGGCTGGGCAGCCAGGGTAGGAGAAAGGCAGGAATCTCAGAGTGCAAGAGCTCTTCTGCCACAAAGGCAACCTCAAACCACTTGCGCTGGAAACTGGCAAAGTCATCCACGCCTACAGTGTGCCAGGTGGCAGTGGGTTGCTGCATGGCCACTGAAAAAAAGCAGAAGGGAGAGAAGGATACCTCAGTACAAATGCTTATTTTCTCACTGATGCATGCTACAACATGGATGAACCTTGAAAACATATGCTAGAAATTAGACATAAAAACCACATATTGTATGACTCCATTTATAAAATTTGTCCAAAATAGGAAAATCTTTAGACAGTAATGAAAATAGTCTGGGACTAGTCAGAGGTGGTGGTTGCACAAGTACTAAATGCCCTTAAAATGGTTAATTATATGTTATATGAACTTCATTGGAACAAGTAATTTATATTCAATTTTATACCCATAATTTCAGAGCATATTCTGGTAAACCCCCTCCCCTTCAATTTGAAGGCAAAAATAAGTGTTTACTTATTTACTTAAAAATAATTATTTAAGAAAAAAAGTGACAATGGACATACTAGTGGCTACAAGGGAAAAGTTCCCACTTCTGTCACATCCTTGGACAAAACAGCACAGTGAGTGGCACCAGCTACATCAATTCATGTATGATTCTTAGACCTAAAGGTGGAGAAACTATCTGTCTGCAGGATGGGAGTCACTTCCAGCCAAGGTCCACACATGTGCTACATGTACAAGAGAGGCTGGTCTGAGTCCTGGGTGCCTCCAGAACTAAACAAGTCAGCTCTCACCATGGCCACATGAGAAACTGCTTCTCTCTGGGGATTATTTTTCCTTGTATATGTTTTTTTTTTTTTTAAAGGGCTGGGGGTGTGGATCAGTCGTAGAGTACTTGCCTAGCATGCATAAGAACATAGGTTCATCTCCAGCACCATAAAAAGTAAATAAATAAACAAACCTGCTTCCTGGATGCATGAGTTCTGCACTCACAGACTTAATCAATCACATATTCAAAATATTCAGAAAAAAATGCTTCTATACTAAACCTACACAGACATTTTTCTTTTCATTATTTTTAGATAATATAGTACAATATAGCAATTACATTGTACTAAGTATTATAAGTCATCTAAAGATGATTTAAAGTGTATAGGAGGATGTAGACACATTATATGCAAATACTATGCATTGATATAAAAGACTTAAGCATCCACAGATGTTTGTATCCTGGAGAAAATGGGTCCTGGAACCAATATCACTCTAATACCAAAGGATGACTATATTTAAAACATATCCTGGAAAACTTGTGAGGACTTGACAGACTTCCTGGGAGAATATCTGGAGCCTGGAAACCCAGGAAGTAAGAAGTGCTATAAATCACAGATTGGAGACCATTATGTCATCATCAAAACCACCTGCACCAGGTGGGAGTGGAGAGGTAGGGTGCTATATTTAAAATCAGCTACCAAAAAATGCTGTGAGGATTCTCATACCAGGTCCTTTGGCCTCTTTTAGGTTTATCTTCCACCTACATTGTCCTCAACAAGAACATACTATAGGGGCTGGGGATGTGGCTCAAGCGGTAGCGCGCTCGCCTGGCATGCGTGCGGCCCGGGTTCGATCCTCAGCACCACATACCAACAAAGATGTTGTGTCCGCCGAAAAAACTAAAAAATAAATATTAAAAACTCTCTCTCTCTCTCTCTCTCTCTCTCTCTCTCTCTCTCCTCTCTCACTCTCTTTAAAAAAAAAAAAAAGAACATACTATAGCTTAAGAAACTTTTCTCTCTGGTTATGCTTAAATACAAATGCTCAAATGTCAACTTAGAATATAAAGTCACTCATGTTGCTCAAGAAGCCATCAAGTGAAACAGTAGGTCACCAGAAAAACACCCACTCCTGTGGGCCACTACATTTGCCTTGCTTCTGACCTCGGTCGGGCTCTTTGTCCATTACTATCTTGTAGAAATAGAAACCGTAGATGAAGGTCCGCCAGGCTTCACCAGATGCATGCATGATGAGCTGTTCTTCCAGCATTTTCTAGGAGAGACAATGAAACTCTGAAGTTTCTGCAAAGGGACTTCTCAAAGTGGATAGTCCCCAGTTGTGCACTAGAGTCAAGGGAGTAATAGGAGCACTAAGGAGACCCTATCTTCAAACTACCCACTAGACATAAAGATTGTACTGTGTTAAATATTATCCTGGTATAAGTCATATCATTACATGTATATCATCAAATATTTCAAACGTACAGAAAAACATAGAAAAAAATCCATGTAGACCACCATTCAGCTCTATCAAATTTAACATTTTGCTATACAGTAGCCCCACTTTTTCTGAGAGAGATATGTTCTAAGACCCCCGCCAAAGGATGCTTGAAAAGACAGGTAATACTGAACCCTAGATATTCAATCAGCTCTCTGAATCTGTGGATTCAACCTACTTTGGATCAAAAATATTTGAAAAAAAAGTTCCATCTTTATGATCATGTATGAAATTTTTCTTGTCATTATTCCCTAAACAATGCAGCACAAATATTTGCACTGTATTAGGTATCATAAGTAATCCATAGAGGATTTAAATATATGAGAAGATATACAAAGATTGAGCATCTACAGATTTTGGTACCCACAGGGATCCTAGAAACAATCCACAGACACTAGAGGACAACCATATAATTTTTTCCTATACATATCTATGACAAAGTTTAACATGTAAATTAGGCACAGTAAGTGATTAACAATAATGATAAAACAGAACAATTATAAGAATTTACTATAATAAAACTCAAATTATTTGTTTCTGGAATTTTTCATTTATATTTTTTGACCACAGCTAACCCAAACCTTGGAAAGTGAAACTGGGATAAGGGAGTGAAGGGGCATTACTGTACTGACTTCAGTTCTTTTCACTTTAAAACAAAAAACAAAAACCTATGGACCACTCTTTCCTCAGAAATAAATAAGAGCAATATTCTCAAGCAAGTTTTTTAAAATGCTATTATATGGATATGTATTGACATGACAGTGAGGTGTTCTTGTGGGATTTTATTTTATTTTTTAATTTCACTGATTGATTGATTGATTATGTTACTATCGATTAAACCCTGGGCTACTCTACCACTGAGCTATATCCCCAATCCTTTTTTTTTTTTAACTGTATTTTGAGACAAGGTTTCACTAAGCTGCCCAAACTGGCCTTGAACTTCTAAACCTCTTGCCTCCTGAGTAGATGGGATTATAGGCGTGCACCACTGCACCCAGCTGAAATTTTAAATAAAGGATATAATACTATATCATTTTATAAATTAGTTTTCATCAACATCATGCTTCTGACATTTATCCATGTTGATACATATACTTTTAGTTAATTTTGTTTTAACTGCTGTAGTAACATTCATTATATGAACAAAGAAATAGTATTCTCAGAGTGATGGAAGTATATAAAGATTTTAGGGAAAGACTATGAAAAATAGCACATTGAGATCCTCAAAGGAAGAGCTGAGGATCACATGCTAATTCAAATCATTTTATTGACAATCCAGTTGCTTAACAAACCACCAATTTCTAGTAGGGATCTCTATATGGACAGGATGGTATGAACCAACTCAGTCACTCAACCTTACCCAATTCTCTCCTCTCATGTTTGGTTCTAGTTCTGAACAGCATAATTAAATTCAGCAAGCGTCTGCTAAGTGCCTACCACGTACCAAGCAAAATACAAGGCACCAATGATATACAAATGGACACTAAGAGGTGGCACACTCTCTGGGCAGGAGATTATATAGACAGATTCTTCACTCTGGCTTTCTAAGTGCTCTGACAAAGTAGTACAGGGCACTAGAAGCCCCTGAAAGAGAGCCTTGAATTCAGGCTCAGGTCTTCAATAAGTAGGAATTAACAAAGGTAAACTGTGGGCTTGAGGTCAGGAGAAGAATATTCTCCAAAAATCTTTCACAGAGATTACTAGATTCAAAAATGCAGATTCCTCTCTGAATGTTTCAGTTAAAGTAATAAATAATTGCCAGATTTTTGAGATAAAAAGTATATTTCAAAGCAAAACCTGTCCTTTCATCGACTCCATATATGCCTTACACTTACTAAAAACAGATTTTCACCCAACCTGCCGATGGGACCGAACAGACAGTTCTATAGGACCTGTCTTGCTATTTTACCTGCATGATGTCAATGGCCATTGCCTGCGTCTGGACCCCATCCACATTGTTTATCAGCCAGTGCACCACCTCAGCACTGATAAAGCAGCATGGCGAGAGGCCCTTCTGTTCAGAGAGCAACTGAACTCCTGTCCTGGGTTCCAATGCAGTCAGCATGTATGTGTGTCCAGTGGCAACAAGCAGAAAGAGAAGATGAGAAGTCAGAAAAAGCGTTTACTATATGAAATGAGAACCCCCATAAATTAATTTCTTTATGTAATTCCTAGACCGAGAGAAATCCCAACAAGACAACAAAAGGTGTTGTGGGGAAAAAGATAAAGGGGAAGAAGGGAAGTGACATTTAGAGAACATCTTACTTATCAGGCATCACACTATGTCACATAACTATTCCATTTAATCCTTCCAACAATGTGTTTATCCACTCTTTTTGAAACTCCACACTTCTAGGTAAGCTCAGAGAAGTCAAGTAACTTGCCCATGGTCTCAAAGCTGTTAAGCAGAAGATTCAGGTATAAATCCACCCAACTACAATGCCTGAGCATTGCCATGGCATAGGCCTTCAGGAACCTCCTGACCCTGCACCACATATATGATGAGCCACTTACGAGGGGTGCTTCATGGCTTCCAGGATCTCTGCCAGGGTGGAAGATGATGTCAAGGAGCTTGCTGCCTGCTGTTGAGAACTATAACACAGAGCATAACAAAGAAAGAGGGCACACACATGAGCAAAAGCAAAAATATTAGAAACATGGTCTACTTTTTAAAGTGCTGAAAACTAGGACAATCTTGACAATGTAAGGCATTCAAGCAAATTCTGAACAGCAGTATCCTGGGGATATCTCATAGAGGTTTTCCTACTTCCTGACTATACTCACTAAAAAATAAATAAATAAAAGGAATTCAAAGTGGTCTTATGTATTAATAAATATCTTAATAAATATCTCCCCATTTAATAATATGTTTCAAGCCCAACCATTTCCAAGAAATCTTCTTGGACTGGTCTAGTTTTATCCAAAAAGCCTTTTACATGTCACTTTATCTCATCCTGACCACAGTGCTAGGTAGTTATGGTCAGAGCATGGGGTCTATGCTCTATTCTAACCAGAATCCCAGTATCATCCCAGCTATAGGACCTCTGGCTTTTCTTGACTTTAGTTTCCTAATCTGAAAAACAGCAATAATACTATTCCTGCCTTTCAGGGTAGCTGCGAGGCTAATATATGTATATTACTGAATACAGGACTGATATATGTGAAGCCCCAATATGGAAAACAATACTAAACAAAATAATGATAACTTCAACACTTTGAAACTTAGATTGGTTGCAGGAACTGGTGAAAGTCAAAGAGCTGAGAAGCCCCAGAGTCTGGATCTGAATCCAGGTCAATCATATTCCAAAATCCAGATTCTTTCTATAACCTGCTGCCAGGGCTGGGGCTGTGGCTTAGTGTACAGTGTTCACCTGGCTTGTTTGAGGCACTGGGTTTGATCCTCAGCACCACATAAAAATAAATAAATAAAATAAAGTTATTTTTTAAAGAAGAAACAACATCCAGTTTCTATAACCTGCTATCCATGCTCTCCCTAATAGTATGACAGTTCCTGAAAACATGCTTCATACTCAGCAACTGAACAGTTTCCAATCATAGCAAAATGGGTCATGTCTAGGACTTAGGTGGATGCTTATTAGAGTTTCTTTTCTTTTTTTTTTTTTTTTTAGAGAGAGAGAGAGAGAGAGAGAGAGAGAGAGAGAGAGAGAGGAGAGAGAGAATTTTAATATTTATTTTTTAGTATTTGGCAGACACAACATCTTTGTTGGTATGTGGTGCTGAGGATCGAACCCAGGCCGCACGCATGCCAGGCAAGCGCGCTACCGCTTGAGCCACATCCCAGCCCCTTATTCGAGTTTCTTAAACCTCTCTTTTTCCTCTGTTCCATACTCCTCTGCTTGCCAATTTGGAAAGTTCAAGACTTACTGTAGCATTCCAAAATCTCAGGTTTAGAAAAAAGTCTTTTAAAAAAAACTTCAGAATTTTCTTCTGATCCTGAAGAGTCCAAGAATCTGGACAAGTAGTTGTCCTCCCTGCAAGAACACCTTCAAAGGCAGAGGACTAAGCTCCTCCATGCAGCAGTACCCATTGCTAATGACTTCCTTACCATGAAATGGAATCTGTTATCTGTAATTTTCAATCATTAGTCCTGATTCTGCCTGCTGTGTCATTTTTGGTCTTCTCACCTCCAATGTAAACATCCCTAATTCCTCTTTTCTTCTAAAAGCAGAAGCAAACCTGCCACTCTACCCTCATACACAATGAGGTAGATGGAGGTATTCCCTGTGCACTGGGCAGCTCTTCCAATCTCACCCATGGACACAGTCAAAAAGCCAGCCTGGTTTTGCCAGGGATATGGGCCTGGGAGAAGACAGAGAGTAAAGAAGCCCGGGACTGAACTGATCATTGCCTCTACTAGCCACAATAAAAGTAGTGCAGTGGATGAGGCAGAGGTGAAACCAGCACAGAATTTATGACGTTAAGGAAACAGTGACTGCTAGCAGGAGCCAGCCAAATAAACACTACAGAGAACCTTCTGCTATTAGGGAAAGGGGTGTAAAAGTCAAATTTTCTTAGATCATTAATTCAAAGACCACACAGTCAGTATAGTGAGGCAACAAGAACAGCTTGGGCAGAATTATTATAAAACAAACATAGCTGGGAAGGAAATAAGAAATTTATCAAAAATTGAAAACAGCATTAAAATCCAGGGCACATTACCCCATAAATATGTAAACTTATCATACATTGATTAAATTTTTTTAATATTTTAAGCAAGGTACATTGGCACATGCCTTTAATACCAGCTAGTCAAGAAGGCTTGAAGCAGGAGGACTCCAAATGACAACTTAGCAAATCCTGTCACAAAATTAAAAGGGCTGGGGATGTAACTCAGTGGTAGAGTGTTCACCTAGCATGCAGGATGCACTGGGATCAATCCCAAGCATTGCAAATACACAAACATACATACATACATAAATAATTCATTTTTTTTAAAGCAGGGGTACTTGTTCAAGCAAATAAGATACAGAAAGCTTCTTCTTATTCTTCTGGATACTCAGGAACAGGGAAAAAACAGCCATGTTTGGCCACAATGAGTGACTCACTCATTGTTCATTCATTTTCTCACTGACTACATGTATCTCACGCACAGTATCATGCCACCAGGGCAGTGGTGACCAAGAGATTTGTCTAGACCCCCTTCCTCAAGCCCTGTACTCTTCCATAATGTCTGACACATTTCTATGTCTCTGAGGGAACTATCCTGTGAGAAAGGCAGAGCATAGATCATTAGCCCCATCACACAGGTATGGGTAAGCAATGATTTATGAGCATCTCATATGATTTGTGATAGTCAGAACCTGGTCCTGGCTGAATCTGTAGTTCAGTGGTAGAGTGTACACCTGCCATGCATAAAGTGAGTATGATTCCCCACACCCCCACTGCCACCACCACCACCACCACCACCACCAAACAAACAAAAAAAAAGATCTTGGCCCAAAGCTTTAGAATCCCATCCTCCATAGTCCTTAAGGATAAGGTTAGACTGTCCTCATCCCACGAGGAGAACAAGTTCGGCCGTTCTGAATCTCACCTGCTGTCACTAGAGTTTGCAGATGGAAAGGCCTGTTCTCCTATGTTCTGAGCGTTCCCAAAGGTCTGGCTGTTGCCTCTGTCCACAGATTGACCTGTGCTTACCCCCAAACTGGTGTTATCCAACACCGGAATGACAGTTTGTTCCAGAGATACCTATAGAAGATTTAAAAATTAATACTGGAATCCACAAAAAATCAACAGGGAAACTTAGTAAATAAGCTGGCTGATTCATTCAATAAGCATTTATATACATACATGCACACATACATATACACAAAAATAAAATCAATAACTACCACCACCACCTATGCAATCATTAAAGCTACTTACATACATGGTCTTCCATTCCTCTTACTCCCAGTCCCCACAGGGACCTGATAGAAGAGTGAAAGCAGTCTAGAGACCACACCTAGTGCTGTGTGCCCTGCCTTCTGCTACAGCAAATGGAGATTCCCACTCTCCAAATCCTCAGAACCAAATAAATTACTTCAGCACCCAACTCAGACAAGATTTACACTAAAGAAACCCCTCCCTCCATATAGACAGAAGAGAAAAGTCAGAATCATTCCTTATAACACTTGGAGGAGGGGAGGAAAAAACATTTAAAGACAAATGGGTGAACCTCTCCATCTACTATGACTCCCCCATTCCACCCCAGTTCTTTCCTGTATCTGTAGCAATACACTCAGCCTTCTGATTGCCCAGGTTCAAACCTAAGAGGTATCTGACAGCTCCCTTCTCCCCTTTATAGATTCGCATGCACTTCTAAATCAGGCTCACCCTTCCTCTGATCAGGGAGGGCTGGACCAGTCTCTTAACTAGCTCCACAATTTCAGCCTTTCCCCTGAAAACTCTTAACTGGAAGCCACTTTCATTTGAATCTTCTGTAAGAACAGAATCCACCTCATTATTTTATTACTCTAAAATCTTGTATCTCTCTATGAGCTATACCATTGAGAACCAACTCCTAGGCCATTGAGGGTTCTGCACATTTGCCTGACCTGTGGCCTTGCCATACCACCTGACATCTACATTTCCAGCTAAATCAGAATCTGCTTATATAATCCTGTATGTGTGTTCTGTTACCCTGAGATTCCTCTCTCCACAACCACTGGCTAAAAGCCCATCATCTTGAAAGGCCATTTTAAATGCTGAGCCCTTAGTAAATTACTTCATGATTCATTCCACCCTAGGCTGAAGCACTCCACCTCTATGAATCTCTCCTGATAACGTCCAGGTTTTGCTTCACACAGTAACATTATACCTATCTCACCTCCTTTAAAGGTCCTACAGCACACATCTATGCCCTGCTCACCTAGAATCCCTACAACATTCATCAAAGGTTGCATCCCATAGCAAATGTAATAAATAAGCCTTCCAGGGCACTCTGGAAAAGTATAAGGTTCTTAATTTGTGATTCTTGGGTACTACTTCCAGAATGGAGCTACATCACCAGCTCTTTCTAATGGTTATTTTGAAATGGTCTTGCTAAATTGCTAAGTCTGGCCTCCAACTTGTGGTCCTCCTTTCTCAGCCTCCCTGGGATTACAAGAGTGCACCACTGTGCCCAGCTGCATATTTTGTTAGATGATATAAATATTGCTCTTCCTAATAAAGGGCTTCTCAATCTCAATCTCAGCACTATTGTCGTTTGGAATCAAATAAGACTGAGGTGGGGGGGGTACTGTCTATACACTGTAGATCTTGAGCAGCATGTCAGAAATACCTCATCCATCTTTTCCCATCTCCTAGATATGACAGAAATATCTCTAGATATTACCAAATGTCCCTTGGGGGGTAAAACTGTCCCTGGTTCTGAAAGAATCACTGGGCTCTCCTACAGCAGTGAATGATTTAAAAGAAAACCAAATAAAACACATAGTCTTTGCTGGTACCATAAACACCTAGAGCAGTACAAAAATAAGCATCCTGCAATTATCAGCCACCATCAGCCCATAACCAATAAGGCTTAGGAATAGGCACTACCAAAATTAAATTACAACAAGCTAACTGAGGGAGACTAGAACTAACTCTAATGCACATAATAAGACTGGCTCATAGGCCCTTTTGGGCCCCTCTAGTGCAACCTAAGAATTGCTCTACCAGCCTAAATTAAGGGATACTGCCACAAATGTACATGATTCTTTATTCTGGTAGAGATGTGGTTAAAGAGTTATTCTCTAAATCGTAAGTTGGCAAACATTTTCTATAAAGGACCAGATAGTAAACATACTAGGTTTTGAGGGCCACCTGGTCTCTCATACAACTATTCAACTTTGCACAAGCACCAAAGCAGTCACAGATGATATGTAAATGAATGGGCATGGCTCCATTCCAATAAAACTTTATTTACAAAAGCAAGATGGTGGGCCAAATTTGCCCCATAGTTGCCTAATCCCTGTTCTGCATCACACACAATCTGCCTTTAATGAAGCTGCATATTTTCCTCAGATCTTAATAAGAGGAAAAGTCATGCTTCTCCCGAAGAATTTGTCTTTATCTTCTGACCACTCAGGCACAGTGACACATGCCTATAATCCCAGAGGCTTGGGAGGCTGAGGCAGGAGGATAGCAATTTTCAAAGCCRGTCTCAGCAACTTAATGTGACTCTGTCTCAAAATTATAAAAATGAAAAAAAAAAAAAGGGAGTGGGGAGCAGAGGCTGGGGATGTAGTTCAGTGGTTAAGTGCTGGGTTCGTTCCCTAGTTTCAAAAAGTAAAAGTTCAGAGCTAAATGTAACATAAAGTACTAATTACAAATCCTTATATTGAATCCTATCTTATTTTTTTATTTCCTGAATTTTCCCCATGTAGGCACATTTTTATTCTAGAGGTTGCATTTAGTTCCACAATCCACATGGAGTACATTTTTGAAATAAGACTAATGGTAAACAAAAAGAAAAGGCAGGATGAACAGAATGGTAGTCACCACAGGTAGAAATCTAGCAAACAGTCAAAAAGGATGATATTAATCTATGATGTGTTTCATCTTAATATCCCCACCCAAAATCTTCCTTACAGAGGTTCCATTTAACATATGTAGATATTCCCCTTATCTTCTTTACTGTTAGCTAAATTTAGTGACTTGCTTACAAAGAGTAGAGCATAAAAGAGGGAAAAAGTAAATTCACAGTGGAGATAGCTGGCAAATACAACATGACCAAATGATGAAGGTTACCAACACAGGCATGTCCTGCAGGTCTCATCTATCCCAATATGACATAATGAGAAGGGCAACTCACCTCTGAGGTACCACTCCATTGTAACCATGAGAAAAAACACCAGTCAAACCCATAACTGAGGACATTTTACAGGATACCCTGGCCAGGACTCCTCAAGACTATTAAGGTCATAAAAAAAAAAAAAAAAAAAAAACAAGGAAATGAGATTGGGTACAGCACATACTTAATACATATGAGACCCTAGGTTCAAACACTAACATACACACACACAMAAAAAAAAAAAAAACCCACAAAACTAAGAAAGACTAAGAAATGGTTACAGACCAGAGGAGACAGGAGAAACATGACAACCAACATGTACACAAAAGATTCTAAATCCGTATGTCAAAGAGATATCTGAACACTCATGTTCATTGCAACATTATTCACAATGGGATGCCTAGATTGGATCCTGCCTGGAACAGAAAAGAAGACATCAACAGAAAAAATGGGGAAATCTACACAGTCTGGTGCGCTCTCTCTCTCTCTCTCTCTCTCTCTCTCTCTCTCTTACACACAACCATCAGCAGCAGCACCAACTGCCAGTCTCTGCCCTACTTCCTAGCACTCCAAAAGCTATGGAAAATGGTAAAGAGAGAGCCCTGTCAGGGATGCCTCTGAGATTAGCATCAATCATCACAGGTGCCTTGACAGGCCTTTTACCACCTCCACCTGTCACATTCCTGCTTTCTCAGGCTAAAGAATAATCAGTCACCAGTAAGCAATCAGATCTGCCCGACCAGTTCCCAAATGTGCCTGGAGGCTATTGGGAGATAGCACTCTATTCTCTCTTACCTGGAGACAAATGGGCTAAGTGGTACTTCTTCCTTCCAGACACCCAGCTCCTTCAGGTCAGGCAGAGGTACCAAAAACAGACCCTTGACAGAATCCTATATACTGAAGAKCAGGTGGGAAGGACTAGGAATAAACTCCCAGACCCATAGCCGGGTGTTCTGCAAGGTTTATGACACCAGGGAAGAAAGAAATATCATCCCAAATGAAAATACTCCCCCTGCCCTCACGGAACTTACCATCTGGGGATAGGAAGGGGATGACACACATTAAGTAATATTTGTAAAGGATTTTTCATTCTGTACCTCCCATAGTATTTGACACAGACCACAGACCTATATCCAGCAGTGCTTGGTATATACTATCTCAACTGAACTGAACTTTCTCTGCAGGTATTGCCTCCCTTTCCACATGTTCATCCTAAAACCTCTTCATGAATAGTTATTTGTGCTTTTATATCTCACATAACTCCACAAAACATGAGGCTATTATAAATAAACCTAATAATATAAAATAAATACATGAGAAAACCCAATAAAGAGAAAAAGCATGTAGAAAAAGTGTGAAATTATAGTATAATCAAGTAATTTTTTGATCTACAATAACATTTTTAACATTTAGAATTGGACCACGCAGTACAGAAGCTGCTAGCTAAATGTGGCTCTTTAAAATATAAATTAACAAAAATTAAATTAAATATTCAGTTCCTAGATCACATTAGCCACACTGCATGCCCCTCGATAGATATATATGAGCAGGGGCTACTATGTTGAACAGTGCAAAAATACAATATTTCCATCACTGTAGAAGCAAAAACTGCAAACAAAAAATGTGTGAGGGTTTACAGGTATTGTTCAGTAGTATAGCATTTGCCTAGCATGCACAAGTCTTAGGTTCAATCCCCAGCACTAAAAAAAAAAAAAAAAAAAGAAACGAAACTTGGGCTGTAGATAACATATTGAAGCACATCTGGCTGAGTTTTGGAGGTTTGGAGTTGTTGTTTTTCTTTTCTTTTTTTTTTTTTTGCAGTACTGGGGATTGAACCCAAGGACTCCTGCATGCTAGAGCAACATTCCCAGCCCTTTTTTAACTATATTGTGACATGGGGTCTCACTAAGTTGGCAGGCTAGCCTTGAACTTG